TGCCCTTGCAGTGATTTGCAGTGATGAGGTTGTGCTCAAGTCCGAGGAGCAACAACACAGCTGGACACTTCTTCAGTTGAAAGGCTTATATAACCTTTTATTTTCTGTCTGTATCCTTCCGTCTCGGTCTGAATGTGAACCCTGCCAAGATCGCATACTATTCGTGGCTGCCAAGGAATTGCCCCTACCAGCTAACCCGCCTCCCAAAGGCTCGAAATGCGACAATGAGTCTTTGATTCTTTGGTGGCCTTTTGCATTGTTTTTGCTGCTCAGACCTTGCTGACACGGTTCCCAAAGCTGCAGCTGGACAAAGCCAAGGACTGTCTGGATCTAAGGAAAAGGAATGCTCACCCCAGTGAGAGAGAGAATCGCTTTCGTAACTGAGTTTTGATGTGAGCCCCAGATTTGCAACTGTTTGGGGATATTTCAGTGCCGTCACGTACGAGTCTTGCCCAGGTGAGACATACACAGTCCCGATCAAGGAGGCAACTTAGCATTCCTGCTTTGAGTTTCCTCAACAGCATATTGACAACAGAGGTGCTTTCTTCAAGACCCGGGCTTCAAAAAACCAGTTCATGGAACGAAATTAGTGACAAAGGGCATAGCTACTAGGAGCAAGAAGCTACTAGTAGCTCCTGGCATTACAGTACTACTAGTAACAAGAAGCTACTAGGAACAAGGGCATCGCTATGTAACCCAGGCTTCGAACCGGCTGGTGCCAGGGCGATTTGGTCGTGATGTTCTCTGACGGACTTCGCGACAACTTGCACGACCGCGAGGTGCTTGAGCAACCCTTTTGACCCAACATGGCCTGAGCAGCCTTGACTGCTAAGACTCCATGTTGCAGCTCCAATACAACTGCACCACAGAACAGTCCTATTTTACCATCAAGCGGTGGGCCCTTTGTTTTTTCAGTGCGTGACAAGAGAACCACGCCGTTGATGGAAGACATCATGCATGTCTGATATTCAAAAGTGGCAGCGCAACGCTTGTTTTTTTGGCAGGTGATTTGTGAGAGTGATTTTTGACCATGAAGAGTGGAATGGTTCCTCTATTCAACCATTCCATGGCTCTTTTGGTAGCTGGAAGAGCTTTGTCCTTCAGGCCAATGAAACTTGGAAGATTTTCCCAAAAACATTCCAAAGCAGCATGGTCCCATGGTGCTTTAACATGCTTTAACAGCATCGGATCGTTAAAACCTACAGGTCATCAGCATCGTGAACCGATGCTTGGCACCCCCTTTCGCAGCCGGGGGCCCTAAGAAAAGCAAGTGCCCCTTTCCGTGCGAAACCCTACTCGACAATGAAACCCTACTGCACATGTGCACTTGTACAAAATGATCAGAGCATATTATGAGACAAGCAGCAATTGTGGCGCGCTGTGTCAATGCCCAGCGGGTGGGAGTACATTGTTGCGCCTCCCAGGACATGGTCGGACTGCTTGACCGTTGCACGCCTGCTCCCTACGTGCATTTGCACAACCGGACCTAATCTGATTTTTTTTTTTTCAACTATATAATATGATAAAGTCATTTTAAAGATTTTTAGGAATGTAATCACTTTTGTATTGTTGTATCTATATATTTATGTCCATGTATACATGTGCATAGGTGACATGTGCAATTTATTCAATGTAATTGCTCAGTGCAGAAGAGCCACTCAACTGAACTTTAAGGCCACCCGAGACAGTCGCGAAGGCCCTCGCACTGGCTGCACAGGAGAGAAGTCTTGATCCAACCGCTCGCGCCCGGGCCCCCACAGGGCAGAAGGCAATGGCCTCCAATCTAGTAGGAATGGCCTCCATCCTACTAGCGATGGCCTCCATCCTACTAGCGATACGCTCCAACCTAATAGCCACAAGGAATGAAAAGGGACATACGATGTTGAACGGTTCACTTGTTTGCCCATCAGGCATGAGGAGCTGCGACCAGACATTTGAAAAAACATAGTTTTGTTGTTTGTGTGCTCACCGCCCGCAGACTCTCCGAAGAGGATTGTTGTTTGATCATGTCGCACCAGTCTTCGCAATCCAGGTGCCATTCGTCGATTACTCGAAGCGCCACGGTTTTGATTGCATTGGCGGGCGGGTGCCTTATCACTCTTCACTGCTTTCCTTCAACATCCCTTTTCTTCGCCCGGTGTTCTCCATTTGAGGAAGCAGGACGACATCACAGTCGTGGCAGCCTGGGCCGGCTTCCTGGAATGACCGGTCGATCCACTGACGTCGTTTGCATGGAACGCAGCGAGGTGGTGCTGGATGAGTCCAAGCCGGGTCTGGCGCCTTAGGAAAAGAGGGACGTTTCGCCTCCACTTTGGTTCCTTTGGGTCGTCTGGACCCCCTCATTCCTGACGAGTCGCCATCGCCTGAGATCCCGATGCGTTGGATATCGATGAGTTGCTGGATGACATGCTCATCGCTGAAGAAGAAGCCGAGGAGCGAGCCTTGCAGGCCAGCAGACAAGTAGGATGTCATCCAGATCTTGCACCAAGTTAAATATGGTCCTCAATTAACCTGTGTACTGTACTGTATACCATTTCTTCCTTGTCATAAACATGCTGGAAGCCCAGAAAAGTTTCAAAGAAAAGCAACATACCTAGAACCTCCTCTTGGGCAGACATTTTCTGCCTATTATGGATAAAGGCGTCTTTGCCTGTGCTTAGGTTCTTGCCCCCTGTATGCGTTCCCCCTCTAGGCGTTCTTGTCCTTTTGGTAGTATTGCTCAAATAGATGAGGATCCACCCACCACTGGTCACACCGGTCGCCGGATGTCGCCGGTCGGTCCGAAGGGCATCGCCGAGAGCAGCAACTTCACCGTCGAGACGACCACTGAGCAGGGGACGGAGGTGGAGGCAGGAACTCAACAAAGCCAGGAAGGACAAGTCTGGATCACCTGCACCTTTTTTGGGGGAGTGGTTTGTTTCCCCTACGAAAGCAAAACAGGTAGAAAAAGATCTTCACCTTGATTTTCCAGGGAAACTGATTATATCGGGGAGTTTAGCTGGCATCATGGACATGAAACATAATACGCATACAACAACTGCACGTTTGGTGGAAGTCCGGTGAGAGAAACACATAGAAACACCCGGGACCTTCTGGGTGTGTGGGTGTTTGTGTGCAGCATCTCGCAGGATTCTGAGACACTTGTGAGCGGGTATTTCAAGAGCGATGGCCTCCAACCTACTAGTGATAACCTCCAGCCTAGCCCCAAAGCTGGCAACATCGAAGACCCATGAACAATTAGAAGAACACTCATCAATGCTGTCCTCAGCCCCAATGCTCCCAGACGCTGGTTGGTACAGGCAAACTACCTGACTTCATGGAAGTGGATGGCATGGCCCCTTAGATTACCATGAAATCCTCCACAAGTTTTCCACTTCCATGATAATTTCAAGGAGTGTTTTGCGGATCGGGGCGTCAAGACACCCCGAAACCCGGGGTGTCTGCAAACCAGTTCGGAAAAACACGGAAAGCGGAGCAGCATTTCTTTGCTGCAGGGTAGCCAGATCAGCTGTTTGTTTGCTGGTTCCATTGCACACTACGCAAAAGACATGTAAACGGCAGAGAAAACAAGTAACCTTAATTACACTTGTCGGACCTAAGTCTGTCATGGTTTTTACAATGTTTTACGCACATTACCCAAAAAGACTACCTGCCCAAGTCAAACGGCAGAGAAAACGCAGCCAAGTGGACCAACATCGTCGCAAGAAAGTAAAATAACAGCAGCAAAGCCTTCAACATAGATCCCACGGCCCCAATCACCTCCAACATACCGCCTCAAAAAAGCCCCAACACTGTTCGAAACGTGCCAACATGGAGAAGGATATGCCCGAAGAATGCACCAAGATCGCCGAAGATTGGCACAAACATGCCCCAAATTTGACCGCCGCTTTCGTAAGCAACAAAAACGACAAAAATAACTGTCAAAGCCACCTTTCTTACACTTGTCGGACCTCATTTTTTCATATTTTTTCATGTTTTTTTTTTTTTTTTACGGTGTTTTACGCACACTACGCAAAAGACCGCCTGCCCAAGTCAAACCGCAGAGAAAAATCAGCCAAGTGGACGAACATGGCCGCAAAACAAGTAACATAACAGCAGCAAAGCCTTCAACATAGCCCTGATCTAGACCCCACGGCCCCAATCACTTCCAACATACCTCCAGGAGAAGCCTCAAGAGAGCCCACTCCAGGACTCGCTGGAGGCTCCGATTTCCGATGAAAAATGAGAAATCATTAGAAATCCGAATTCCAGGAATTGTGAATTCCACCTCACCATGATTGTTCCAGGGAGTGTACGCGTCTCTCGCAGGGTGTTCTGAGTGCGAGATTGAGATCCTCCTCCTTTAGCCGCGACCAGGTCACCGAGGAGACGTTGCCGCCCTTGACGACAACCCCTGAGCTGTGAGCTGTGACGGGAGCGGAAAAAGTGTGTTTTTCCAAAGCCGTGAATGCAAACATGATAGAAGATACAGCACGGAGTGTTGTCCAGGTCATGAAGAGAACAGAGCCACTGACCTAGGTCGTGATGACCGTGTTTCACAAGTTGCTACTGCTAAAGGCAACAGAGCACAGTCGTGACATGTCCTGTTGGTCTATTTGTCTATTCATGGCATGAACATATACTCTTACATCCTAATATATAATTGGCATCACTTGAGAGATGATGTGCCAACATCATGTACCACCACGGGACATGTTGCTGATTCGCCGAGCGTCACCGTTTCACGAAGCAACTCGCGGAAAAGGGGAGGGGGCAGAACCAAGGTCCTCGCTCAGATTTTGGTTTCATCCATGAGGAAAACGGAAAACATTTGCAGTCTGAGTTTTTTCATACGACAAATCGAATGAGTTGTTTTTTAACAGTGAAAATCACTTTCTTCAAAACTTAGTCTCGACTGCATGGATCAGACCACCCCAGCACTGGTTTCAAGGTGATAAATCAGGCTTTACATTTTATACAACATCTGCCGCACGCGCATATTGGTGTTCTGTCTCAAAATGAAGGCTTCATGAAATCCACAGGAGCCAGGCGGGGAGAAATTTCAAACTACCCAAGTTATCGCAATTGTTTGTTTGTGTTTGCTGTGGGACCGTTCTGAGAAGTTGTTGATGTTGTTCTACGCACCGGAAGAAGTCGACATGTGGAGTGTTGGCGGGTGGCAGGTGGAGACGTTTGCATGTAGGGCATGAGTGTTTCATCAGATTTTGCCTTTTGATTGGTTTTGTATGATTTCAGCAAAGCACAACATCTGTCTCGTAAGAAGGCCTTCATGTTCCCAACAACCCGACTTGAGCATGAATTCGTTTGTGCATTCACTAGGTTTCCAATCTTTTTCCTTGTGCTCTGTGCGACGGACTTCCCAACCGCTAACCCTCCTAAGCAGCTCAGATCACCAGGCTTCCTCTTGGAGTTCCTATGCCATGGCGCATCTATGGCCGAAAGCCTTCCGCACCTCGATGGAGATCTTCCTGGAAATGCGAGAAGGGAAACCATTTCCTACAGAATAAAGGGGGTATTGACCTGAAAGAAGAGGTTTCGTAGGCAATTCAAAGGGGGGGTTGAAGATTTCATTTGTGGAACTTCCTGTGGTTTGTGCAGCACCTTTCAGTGGTTGTGATGGGTTTCTACAATCATTGAAGTGACAAACTTGGAGTTTGGCAAAGATGGGGAGGGGTTCTTGCAAAGATCTTTCATGCAGGTGTAGGTGTCCCTTCAGCAGTAAGGCGGTTTGACGTGCTGAACTCAGAAGTCCGGGGCGAACTGGACGGAGCTTGAGAGCGACAACCAGTGTGATTGGAGGTGAACAAGAACACTTTTTCACGCTTGCGGATGTGGACTTTTGACATTCGTTGGTCATTGGTGCTTTTCATCAAACTAAGCAAGGCATCGAGCAAGTGGCTGGTTACTGCTGGAGCGCTTCTTCCTCAGATTTTCGAGGTTTGGGAACACTTGGGAAAAGTGCTGTGTGATAGAGATCTCCACGGTCCAAGTTGAAATGAACTTCACCATTTTCGGTTTAGAAAGTGCACTTGGAAGTTTGCTGATCATGTGCACAAAATTGCACAAACCCAGGACCACCGCCATCGTCATGCGAAGAGATGTCCTGAGTTTGATCCTTACTATTGGGCTGGAGGCCATTGCTACTAGCCGCTATGAGACGACGAGCTGTCGCTGGTCTATTTGAGACATGTCTAGGTTGGAGAAATGGCACCCTGGCACGCGGCTATCGCTGGAGGTCCTTACATCACCTTGGGTGGGATAGCCGCATCTTTTGTGACGAAGCGGATCAAGTGTGACGCCCAGCTTTGAAACAGATGGATCACTTTGGCACGGAGCCTGTTGAGACGTCAATACCCCTCACATCTCTTCACTGCAAACAGCCAGGACTCGTTTTTTCAAGTTTTTCTTTCCTTTGTTGACCACTTAACCTCTCAGACTCGACGAGTTCGACCTGAAAGAGGAGTGAACACTCGGCTTAAACGGAGAAGCCGAGGCGTGTGGTGAAGCAGCAACGCCCAGAGGGATCACCCTTTGATGACCCGGGGATGCCTTCGTCACATGCCTTGGTGCGGAGACTCCACCCCGCGACCGCGACCGCGAAAGACGGAACCCGGTGGGTGAAGGTGGTTAAACCTGGTGCCAAGCTGCGTGCTGCATTCAAGTGGGGTGAATTTGGGAGAAGGTAATTGTTTTGCACATTGCTGAGGTTTGCAAAGTCTCAGTCCCATTTTCAAACCATTGGGTCAGTTCAGAATTGGACCAAACTCCCAACCAAGATAGGTGGCTCTTTTCATGCTGGACATGTTGAGACATGTCGTGTATCATTGATTACAGGTCTACACCAATCAATACTGTAGGGCACTGTAGTAGGGGATGATTTCATTCAACCAAACCCTTATGGTCCCCCACGGGGATGGCCCTTTTTTATAGGGAGCTTTTGCGGTTCTTTCTGCATGTTGATCATTCTGATTCATTTTGTATGAATAAGCAAGGAGCGGAGCGCTTGTGGTGCATTGACTTGGACCTTCTGGGCCTAAAGCGATGTTTGAGCCTCCGTCTCGCTGGAGTGCTGCGACTTCACAAAATCGTACAGGTCGCCACCTTTATGGCAGTCGCTTGGGCACTGCAACTTCAGCCTGAGACTGAATGCTGAAGGATGACCGACAGCATTGGGCAACACACTTGCATCAATTAGTGGAAATGTTGTCTTAGAGACTTTTTGAGACACGCAACATTGCTACACGTTGTACAGCTGATCGTTGTGCAGGTAGGCACTCCAATGAATGCATATACGTGCACCATCATACACCATGTGCAAAACGCAGGCACTCACTCCGTGAATGCCACGTGCAGGATATTGAAGCCCGCTTTGTGAATCACACGCAAAGCATGTCAGACAGTACCTACCACAATGGGGGGTACCTTGGTTAAATATTCCAGGTTATACCGTGAGTTCACAGAATATTTTTTGTGGATTATTTTTACAGGAATATTTATGGCTGGAGGTATGTGATACTGATAGTGGAGACAAACCCCAGAATATTTTTTTTATGAAGAACATGTTGGAGGAGTGATGAACAATGGGCAATCCTGAGAAGAAGGGTGGAACTATACCCAGAATAGTTATTTAAACAAAACTAAAACTATACCCTGGAATATTTAATCAGATCTGGTGCGGTTTCGCTCGGAACACTGAATGCTTTTCGTATTCTGTGATTTCTGTCGTCGTTCTCTCGAGATCGATCGTGCGGATTAACAGGTTGACACATTTCACAGGGATAGTTTGGTAAACGTACGATAATTGTGATATTTTTGGTTGGTATCAAAGATTACTAAAGGAGACCACAGGCTCATTGGCTCATTTCAACATATCCGATGATTGTTGGAGTGTAGTTCAAAATAGTTCAAATATTCTATCAGTATCCTTGGGGTCACATACCCCTCGAATAAAATAAAAAGTGTGAGAAAGAACTACTCAAGTGTTATCAATCAGGTTTGTTTTGATATGTTCAGCTATGTTCAACATGGTTCCACTCACACAGAAGTAGAAGGATTTCGAAAGGGAAAAAAATCAGAGGACAAACATTGACTGACTTGAGGGTCGCAGAAAAAGAACGCATATTTGTCAGAGCGCGCTTCTCATTTGGCTGTTTGTGAGAAGGAGGGTGGAACTATACCCAGAATATTTATTTACAAAATCTAGAATTTTTCTGGAATATTAAATTCATACAAGTATTCCAGTAACTGGTCAGTTCACAGAATATTTTTTTTAGATATAACTGGAAGTATATAGGAATATTTAAAAAATATTCTGCAAGGTCTCGACGTGGGTAGGTATCTAAGGCACCCGCCATCTACCACAGGGCTAGGGCAACAGAGGAGCCTGGAGCAGTGAACTTGTGTACAAAATGATGCGCTGTTGGTGCTATTCTAACTGACAGGCTTCGCCAACCGGCGACGCCCCTGGGGGGATTGCGCGTATCCGAGGCTCTTCGCACAGCAAAATCCGACGATTAGCACAGCTTCTTACGCCTGCGCATACACACTCCCACACAGGTTTGCGCACGAGGGTCTGATGGAAAAAGCCTGCCAACCTCAGCTTCAGACACGTACGCGTGCACACCCGCACAGGTGCCCGCAGGCACACGACCGCACACGCACTCGCGCACACGCACTCGCACACACGAACGCACACGAGCGCGCGCGCACACCCAGTGGGCGAAGCCGCAGCCACCTTTGCGCCCGCGAACCCTCTAGGCTTTTCAGCGTACTCCACTACAAAGTCCTGATACTTGAAGAAGCCATATAAGCCCAGGTGGTGCTAGAAATGTCGGCCGCAAGCTGACATTTTGAACATCACCAAAGGATTTGCATCTTTCCTGCTGAGGCTCTGCTGATGCTAATGATGCTTGACCAAAACTTGTCCTCAAAGTTTGTCTCCATTTTCAATGCTTTATTTTCAGGCGTGTTTCTTGGCTCCATTAAAGATCCACAGAGGCAGGAAAGTCTCAAAATACGCTGCATAAAAACATCGGTGCCGCCACACCGAAACACCCATGAATTGTTATCTACTGGGCAGGCTGGTGTCCAGCTCACCTGGACCTGTTGGCACAGGTGGCATGTATGTCCTCATGCTGACTCAGCAGCCTGATGACACTCTTGCCGCTACAAATGCCAATGGCCGAGGTCAAAGTTGGCTTCAATCTCCTTGCTGTGCGCATCAGCTTTAGTGAGCGTGCTCGACTCAGAGTTGGTCATGCAACAAGTGATGCAAACAAGAAATTACCCACTATCCAAAGGATCGTGGATGATGCAACATAATTATTGGGCAGAGCACCCTGGCCACTCACAAAGCACCAGGAAATGTGTGAACAAATGCAGGATGCTGAAGAAAAACAAGATCACTCGAATGAGGGAAATTCATGGAAATTCGAGTAGGTGCTGTAGAATGGAGATCAGAGCCCGTCATCGAAGCCATGTATTTCCATGTATTTCAATTTGTTTCTAATATTCAGACGCCTTCCAAAGTAAACAAAGAAAGGCACAGGGCGCTTGACTACTTGACTTGCTGAGGTGCTGCGAGTAGTGTGTGGCCACCACACATGGGTGATGCCGACGATTTTGGCACCGTTTTTCGCCGTGGTTCTTTGGTTTTAGCTTTAGGACACCCTGCTGGATCCCTACTGTACCAGACCGAGTTTAGGTTTTGTTCCGGTTCCTGTGTGTTGACTTCGGCATCATCGAGAGGGGAGCGAGGACTAAATCATCTGAAAGAGCACGGAACCGGCAGAATTGCCTGGTACACCCCAGGAAAACCCATTGGTAGAGAACATGTGTAGGTGTGCCTGTGTCTCTCTTGAAATGTTCTGTGCGGGTTCCTAGTGTTCTCAGCCAGGCCCAAGTGGTTGTTGGAGCGGTCATGGGCTCTGCCATGGCTGTTGCTTGGATGCTACTTGGAACGGTGAGGGCGCCCATCCTCAGCCCCAAGCGGATGCGGGACGAGTCAAGAGTGGACGAGTCACCGGTGACAGACCTGACAGACACCGGTGGAGACGGGACCCACAGTTGATAGCTCTCACTATTTGGGGGAATCACTCAGGCAAGGGAGGGCAAGCCAACTGAACGCCCACAACGGTTGCAACATGACGATGAAATACAATGAACAGAGATACTCTACTGAGTGTTCTGCCTACGAACTTGATTGACTGATGGACTATGACTGTGGCCTGAAGATGTCTAAAGAAGTTCATGTTTATGGCCACTCATGTGTTCCTTTCCCAGGCAATCGTACGGTGGAAGAATGACATGTCAGTAGATTCAAGCCCGGTTCATCCCATGTGACTGGCTTTCAACACAATCATCACCGTTCAGGAGATGATCCGAAGGCCCAGCCATCTGGCAACCTTGGTGCGCCACCAAGCTGGACCAAGCTCCAACGAGCAGCTGTGTCCAACATCTTGGAAGACCCTAGAAACCAACAACGAGCCGCGCTTTCTTCCGCATTCTTGTTGGGTGGTAATTTGAAGATATTGGAAGATCGGCACCTCAACGTGCTCGCACGCTTATGACAGGCTCTTTTTGCGCAAAGCATATTTGCTTTCTCTGTGATAAACGAAGATCTTCCGTGCACATGATGCATGCTGCCTAAAGATCAGATCAGCAAGAAGGCGGTGGCCCACCGATCATGACCCTTGGTTCGTGAAACAAAATAACCCTTTACTTTGGGCAAGAGATGAGAAACAAAAAATTACAACATGATCACATTCTTTTTGTTGGGGTTTTGGGTTCCCATTCTAAAGTCTCTTTCCGCAGAATAATCAGGCCCACCGTAGTCAATGTCTTGTTGTCCGTGCAACTCACTCTGCTGGACGACGAAGAAGGCTTTTGGGGGGTTTGAGGTCGTGTACACCTTGTACCTTTGCGGAAGCGCAGCCAACTCAGTACGTTTCTTTTGTTGCACGTGGTGGCTTTACCTCACACTTTCACCCCTGTTTTTGGAATATTATGATGTGTAATGCTGTAGACTGTATAATAGTTTCTCCAACTGACTGCTGCCAGTGATCATTTGATACGGTATTTCATGTCGTTAGTCAAGGGCTCTTCCGCAGAAAATTTGCAGAAGTCAACTTTGACCAAGAGGTAGTCTTCCTGGCGAAGGGCATCAAGAAAAGCCGGAGAAGACACAAAGCCACAATTGCAGCCTCAGGCGATTAGGAAGCACTTGCTACTACAGGAACGAACGCATTCGGTTTGATATTGCAACGACATGCGCATGTCATACAAAAAGAAGATTGCTTGAACATGAATCCAGGAAGGGCAACCCAATGCCTGGTTGCTTGTCCTGTCTCGCTTGAGTCCATGCCCCAAAAAGCAGAATGCATGCAACTAGTGCCAATTCTTGCAGTGCTGTTGACAATGTTACTGCTGGTGGTGGAGGTCATGGTGGTCAAAGTGCCTGTGCAAGTGCAAGTGCCGTGCATCACCGACTTTCTTACAATCTGAAAGACATAGTTGGCGCATGTTGGCACCAAACAAAGAGCTGAAGAGAAGGGGCAACAAGGGGCTGTTCATGCACCGTAGTTCGCTGTGCTCTTGCACTTGGCCCACTGGAATCTTGACTGTGGAGAGATAGTGAACAAAAGACAGACAACGATTTCTGACGTGAACCATTCTGACGTGAATATGTTTGCACACGATTTCACAAGTTCATGAAAGGGAGGCCCGCTCGTACTTTCGGTGGATGGTATCGGGCCTGTCCCTACAGAGTGAGCATTGGCTTTCTGCCACAAGGTCCCACCCAGTCCCACTCATCCACTCACCACCCCACAGCAGTCCGTCCACAGCAGGATGTTTACCGATCCCACCAGACGGCCGTGAAACGAGTCGCCTCATGTGGTGCCGTGTGCGCCATGCGCCGCTGCAACGCTCGCTGGTGCTGCGAGCGGGTGCCGCATGTTCTCTTTTGGGCCGACTCGAGGGGGCTCGGAATATTTGGACCATTTATATATATATATATATATACGTGCATGAGTATATTATTCATTACAGTAAATTTTATGAGTAACGCACTCATTAGCTTTGTTTTCTGGATTCATTCTCCCATTATTTATGATTTGTTTAGAAAAAGCCTGCTGATGGCTGCACTCAGTAGGAAAATGACTCTGAGAAGGCTTTGTCAATACTATCCTCATCAAGTATAGTTCTCTTTTCTTTGCTGTCTATGCGCCCTCAAGGCCTTTGGCTCAAAACCCCCATTCTTCTAATTAGTTGTTTACCTGGAGGTTTTGTGATAGCCTTTGGTGTTTCTTTGGCATTTGCGGAGTATTTAGTGTGAGGCTTGCTCACTTTCTTCCTGTCAGTTAGTTATGTAGGATTTTTGTTGGACGTATCAATAACAGGGAAACCCTCCACCGACTAGGGTGAATGTCCAATGTTTTTGCGCGACATGTCCAATGGCCGCCAGGAACATTGAGCCCAAAGCTTGGCTCAACGCCCAGTTGGCGCGTTGCTTGCCGAGGTGCCGCTTTCGAATCGGCGCCAAAAAGCACTCCGCCGGAGCCGAGTATTTCCTACAATACAATATAGTATATTTATATAATACAATCTGTAATATGAAAGGTAGCCTCAGTATGCCTCAGTAGCCTCAGCTTTCACTTTGGTTTAAGCAAACATTGTCGCTGGATTACGTGATTACTTAAATATCCGACATAATTGTCATCCATGATTCTTCATGATGGGGGGACTCCGGTATATACAGGCAAAGCACACAGCCACAATCACCTACATCACAACGATCTTTACCAAAGTTGGAGTGATACCTAAGGGCTGGACAGGGTTCAGTAGCACTTCCATATGGTCTCAGCGTCTCAGCTACTTGAGTTCACTTGGCTTTAGAAGAAATGTATTGTCACAAGACAATCACACAATTGTGTGCAATTGTCATGACTTTGGATCGGGGGTGGAGTGAAGGCCGAAGCTGTACTAGCAACTAGTAACATCATTGCGCGAGTAGGTCAGGCAAATTGTGTGGCCATGTCCTGGCACCACCACTGACATCTTTCCACAAAACTCGCTGCCTTATGTGCCAGCCTTTTGTTTCGGGTGGCTTTTGACATCTTTTGACTCTGTCTTTTGCTGCACCAAGTCGCGCTTTCGGTTGAGATGGGTCGAGGAATTGTTGGATTCGGACCAGGAAGTGACAGGAATGGGACTTTGCGAATTGGAAGACTACAGATTGGTTGCCTCCGAAGCCTCAAATCTCGGTCCAAAGGGCTCAAATACAGGTAGCTTCTTGTTACTAGTAGTATGGCCAGGAGCCCCTAGTAGCTTCTTGTTACTAGATGTTACTAGTAGAGGCATCTTCACGACGGACAACCTGCCACATCTCCATGCCGACCGCGCGACGGACCGAGTGCTGACTGCGGATCGATCGACGAGTCCGGCCGATCTCCAGGCCTCGCAGCATCGCTTCGATCACCGGAGCAAGAGGTAGGGCCTCCGGTCACGGCTCTGGAGACGGAGAAGGATTGGAAGGAACACTGCCAAAGGGTTCTATTGTGCATTCAATTGGATTATTACACATTCTTGTGGATTCTGTAGAATGTTCAGATTTCATCAGAACTTCGGGATTGTTGGATTGTTGGTGCATACTTGACGCTGCGATTTGGGGATCGTTTGGAGCTTAAGCAGGTAGGGCACACTGTTTGTTATGACTTTGTGCAGAGACGTTCAGGGCTCCGGCGAAAAGGCCAAAGCACTTCGAACTGCAGAAGGCCTGCCTGCGATTTCTGTGGTCGGTGTCGATCATCATTGTTTGCCTTTCCAAAGACTCAGTTTGCCGATACCGCCGATACCATTTGAGGAACGTCAAAAACTATTGTTTGATGTTCTACAATAATGAGTTTTTCTTTGCTTAACTGTCAACTGTAGCTTAGCAATGCCACCATGTCAGGTTGCTTACAAGGCTTTCCATCTGTTGCATTGCAAACAAAAACCTGAAGAAAACAGCATGTTTGAACTCTCCATAGCAGCCGGGTCAGTCTGCATAGCCTGAGGTAATGCCTGGCAGCTGATTCGTTCCTTGTGGCCACGAGAAGCCTCTCATCAGGCTGCGTTGGTGGGAATTAATTAGTGGAGCCCATCGATAAGGCCTAGATACATAACCCAAAGATACAAGACGCAATCTTCTAGGCGTATTCATCAGTGATTCGTGCCATTTATCTCAGGTCAAAAGATGTAGGACGAAGTCACCAAACTCACCTGGCTGTGACAGTTGAGAAATGGATGGATGTTGCCCACAACTCATGATTGTCCTCACTTTGTGTGAATCCAAACGAGAACACGTCACTGGGAGAGTCAGCTTGATGGTGTATTGAAAGCCAAGCCTGACGATTTCTCATCAATGGCATCAGGAGGCATTTGCCCTTTTCACCCTGCCAGTTTCGATCATATTAGAATCAGAATGAATATGAATCATATTATTAATGCAAATTTATTGTATGAGCAAGGACTTTTACTTGGGCTTAACTAGAGCAGTCTACAGCACTATTTGTTTGTTCGACATCAGTTCTCACTTGAGAGAGTATAACCCTCCCCATACTAGAAACTAGTATTCGCATGTCCGTTTTTCTGGAAGCATGCCCAATCCCCTGTAAAACGATAAGGAAGAAAAAAACACGATAACCCCCCATGACTCTTGTGGAAAACCCTTCACATGCGAGACGTGGTGTGAAGAAAAAGCGTGCGCACACACAAACAGAAAACCTACTACTGTTCCAAATTGTCAGGGTCAATGCATGACTGCTTTTGGTGGGTATATTTTTGGACAGAGGTGGGAGGGCTTGGACCGCTGTAGCCTTGTGCTACAAGGCATTGTTGTGCTGCATGGTTTTCCACCTTGCACCAGGCATGAAACCGATCACAAGACGATAACAAACACGATAACACAGCAAGCATAAAACACCTTTCCGTAGGCAGGCCACCAATGTCTTCATGCCTGCAAGCTTCCACGCACCACATGCATGTAGTGCACGCACTACATTATATTACATTTGTTGCAGTTAGTCAACGTGCTGTAAAACGATAAGGAAGAAAAACCGATAACGTCAAAAGTGGTATAGGGAAAGGTAGAGTTTTTTTTTTTTTTACACAACCTGTGGTAGTGTAAAGATGTGTAAACATTACATCATGTGGGGAAGGGTCAAAACCTGGAGCCCTGGTCCACCATGTAGCGAACGACCTAGGTCAACCGGTGGGTCTCCTGGTGCCAGCTCCCCACAGCCAATGTGATCAGTTCGACTTGAAACTGACGAACGGATCCAACCGTCTCAAAACGTTCGTCCAGGGCCGCATTGCCTTTGCCGCTGCTGGCTTGGTGGCCGGCAAGGCTTTGGCCATCTTGGCTCCCCTACAGTGCCTCGGATCGCTCGGTCGATCGGAGTGCTCGGCTTCTTCTTGTTTTGGTGCCATGGAACTGGAGAAGCGCCAAGCATTTCGGAACTTTTCGCAATAGAACCAGGGGTTTCTCGTGGGATGCGAGCGATTTTAGGGAACACTTCCTCCATCGTTTGGGGTGAACGAGGACTGCTCCACCCATCCGTTCCAAATTGTTTCTTGGCTTTGAGTGAACTTAGAGTTTACTTGCATGAGTTGGTTGTAGTATATCACCTGATGTATGCCAGCTAGATTCAGGGTATTAGTGTTCCCTTTTCTAATCTTAAACCGTATTTGTTCGCGAGGATTGGACACATCTACTTTGCTCTCCCCTGCGATGTGTGATAAATCGAAGTGCTCAACTCAACAACCCTCCTACGTCACACAAGTGTCCTGCGAAATTGTTTCAGGTATAGTGCCAGCCACATGGATTATACTGATTATACAATTTATACAGATAGGGCTTGGGGGGACCGGCCGAAGCAGGGCCGGCAGCGCCGAGCAACTGGAGCGCAATTTCTTTGCAAAAATGCTGGCTTCGTCGAAGGTGATCCTTACACACTCGCCTTTTCTCTGGGAGCCTTACCCAGACCTGTGTTCAAGGATGCACTCGGCTCAGGCTGGGCCACCTGATTGATGCCCTCGGCTCCGGAGCAGAGTCGCTACCCGTCGGTTTGCTGGCAGCACCTTGCCAGGAACGAGCGAAGGGTCGTCGTCGGTTGGTCAACATTCATTCTTAAAGACATTGACCCAACCGACAGAAAGAATGCTCTTCAGTGATGTCTAGTGCACAGTCAAATTCGTGTTTCTTGACCATGGATGTATCTTGAAAGCTGAGCAAGTATGATTCAGCTTGTCCGAGCACGCGGGCCCTTTGAGCCAATGGTGAGCCGGAACTCGTTTCTCGTAATGAGGCCTATGGTCTCGCGCGATTGTCGACCAGCGACCCTCGGCTTTGAAGCTGTTGGAGACCCGATCCTCAAAATGAGCACTCTCCGAAGCATTGGATGAATGTTCAGGCGTGGCTTTCGGACACCATGGACCCTTGGTTTTCCCGTTGAGTTTAGTTCGTTTCCACATGTTCCCGTCATTGACCGTTTGTATGCCAGGCGTAAACCAGATTCACCCTTGGGAAGCCACAAGATCCACAAGTTTGGTCATGAGTCATAAGATGTCATAAGGCACTTATAACTTATAAGCTTATAAGGATACTAATATATATATATAACTATATGCAGTATGTAAAACGAAAACTAAGGATGACACAAATGGGTGGAATGGTCCTGCGCGCGCGTTCCGGCCTCGAGGCCTTCAACGAATTGAGATCCGCACTCTTTGCCACCGTCTCGCAGAGTAGCTGTCGAGCGCTAGCACGACGAAGCTTCCAGCACCTTTGGCTAATGGAATCGAAGCACGGTGAAACGAGCACAACTGCTTCAGATTCGTTTATTGGCCCGAATGTTGACTTGCTGCCCTTGTGGGGAGGCAGGGGAGATCCAGGGGTTTGACCCAGTCAGTTTTGCCCGAGGATCAATGGGTCAATTTTTAAAAGAGATTGACATGAAGTGCATTCGATAAATGACGTGATCCTTATTTAGGGTCAATTATCTTTGGGCTAACGCTGTCAAAACGTATTCAGAGGTTCTTTATGGTTCTTCACTGCTTGCTTGGCCACATGCCGAACATTTTTTTCTCGGGTGGGATTGGACGGGGTGATACCACCTATCAATTTGTTGTTTCTTCACCAGGGTCTCATGCAAATTCAAGACACACAGACACACAGACACACTCGTCACTCGGGTTGTGCTGATGACCCCAACATGCATGGTGTGGGAGGGCGGGAAGACTGTGTGCATCTCGAGTCAAGTTGGTGAGGTGGTAGTTGTGGGGCTCGTCATGGTCCCTAACAAACCTAAAGCACCAGACTTTCAAAACTGCCAGCCGAGGCATTTGCATAGCCTCGATGCGCCTCTCAGCTGCATGTAGCATAATGTCATCATGAAGCGGCCCAGAGAACAGGCGCACTCGGCGCACTCACCAAAAACGCGAAGTTCTTGGGTTTTCATGGGAATTCAGCTCCAGACCCAACAATGCTGGTTTTCAGTCTCAAGATCACCGCGATCCCAGCGCGAAACACCCGACGCCAAGAATCGACGGCAGGGGCCGCTCTCCAGAACCATCCACGCTTGGTGTGAAATCCGAAGTCGCATCAACAGTTGGTATAGCTTCAACAGTTGGTGTCACATCTCTTTTGCACATGCGGAGTCGGAGTTTACGTGCCGTAATCAATGCCCCCGTTGCAGAACAGCGCAACCTGGCGCAGGCCTTCGGCCCCAAACTGGTTAGGCCTTCAGGCCAACACGGACCCCTTTCTTCTGATGCGTCGATAGCGTCCTGCATCTGAGGAGCTATCTCTTGTCCAGCAAACCTGGTGCTTTGAATGCCCGGGACTCGGGCACGTGTGGGAAAGATGATCAAAAAACGCCTCAGAAGAACGACCATGCACAACCAGTGCTCTCAGGTTGTAGTGAACCGGGCCACCAAATCATTGACGCAGGCACTGTGGTTTCGCTTTTGTGGTACTGTTGCTGCATGCAGTTGTGCTTGCTGACACAAGCAATTCAAGCTAAAGAAAAAGTCAAAGAACCCTTCACCAGCTCAGTCGAGATTGTGGCAACAACGTTTCGAAAGCATCTAAATATAGGAGGGTGGGAGGCCATCGCTATTTAGTTGGAGGCCGTCCCTATTAGGTTGGAGGCCATCGCTACTAGGTGAGAGGCCATCGCTATTAGGTTGGAGGCCATCGCTATTAGATTGGAGGCCACTACTATTAGGTTGGAGGCCACCGCTATTACGTTGGAGGCCATGGCTACTAGGTTGGAGGCCATCGCTATTAGGTTTGAGGCCATCGCTACTAGGTTGGAGGCCATCGCTATTAGGTTGGAGGCCATCGCTATTAGGTTGCAGGCCATCTCCATTAGGTTGGAGGCCATTGCTACTAGGTGGGAGACCATCGCCATTAGGTTGGAGGCCATCGCTATTAGGTTGGAGGCCATCGCTATTAGGTTGGAGGCCATCTCTATTAGGTTGGAGGCCATTGCCATTAGGTTGGAGTATGTCTTCTCAACACTGCAGAGGTGCTGAACATGCTGTTGTTCAATGTCATGCCGATTGCTGTGGAATGTGCTATGGCGCTTGGGGTGATGGCCACGTTGGCGGGATCCTCCGCAGAATTCGATTCGGAGAACGTTGTTTCATTGGATCATACTGTTCGGAGTCCAGTACCTATATCGTATTATTACATTGTTGATATAGTTGTATAGCTGAGCTTGAGTTGTGCTGCGGGTTTGATTGATCCTGGTTAACGTGAACAATTCCATGCACTGAGGACCAGGGTGTGCACTTGCAGCTTTCAATACCCTGCTTGCCTATGTGGCAGCAATCTCAGTTGCTCTTGCTTCTTGGGTCTAGAGTCTACAGTCTACAGTCTTGATTTCAGCAGCTGCACGTTCACTGCATTCACCACGCATGATCAACTGATACTCAGTCAGTGACTGGATTTGCGGGAAATAGTATTTGTGGTCTTGTGTGGAAGTGGCGAGCTGGAGTTGTTGTTTTCTCGAGTGGTTCGAAGTGGCGGTGGGCTCGGGTCTTGTGTAAAACTAGATGTCCAACTTTTTATTGTCTTACAATGGAGGACCATTTAATCTATATGTTTTCTATATTTTTTAAAGGATTTTTGTTGGTTTCTCGTGGCTTTTGGCTTTCGTGGCTTTTGTGGCTTCCGTGGCTTTTGGCTTTGGTGGCTTTCGTGGCTTTTGGCTTTGGTGGCTTTCGTGGCTTCTGTGGCTTTTGGCTTTCGTGGCTTTTGTGGCTTTTGGCTTTGGTGGCTTTCGTGGCTTCTGTGGCTTTTGGCTTTCTTGGCTTTCGTGGCTTCTGTGGCCTTTGTGGCGTTTGGCTTTTGTTGCTTTCGTGGCTTCTGGCTGTTTGCTACTAGTCCATCTTTGGAGGAATGTGAAGTCCGAGGCACAGCTACCAGATGTAAGACGGTCTTGTTTTCATCCAGACGATTCCTTTGGTGCTTTTGGCTTTTGGTGGCTTTTCGCTTTTGGTGGCTTTTGATGACATTGTCTTTCGGTGGCTTTTTTTGCCTTTTCGTTGCGTCGGCAGGCTTCTGTTGGCTTTTCGTGTCTTCATTCACTGATATGGTGTAAATATGCCTGGCTGTTTGCCAGCTACGACAGCTCCCAAATCTGTCTACCTATCCATCTATCTGTCTATATCTATCTGTCTATATCTATCTGTCTTTCTATCTGTCTGTCTATCCATCTATCTATCTATCTATCTTTCTTTCTTTCTTTCTTTCTCTTTGGCAGCTGTTCTCCTTTCTCTTTTTGCTTTTGCTTTTCCATTTGTTTGCTTTGCAGAGAAGAAACCAAACAAAGAAGCAAGCAAGCAAGCAAGCAAGCAAGCAAGCAAGCAAGCAAGCAAGCAAGCAAGCACGAGCTGCTCACCTTTGGATCTGGTGTGCTGCTGGGGGGGGGCGCTGCGCCCCCCCAACCCCTCCCGCGCCACGAAATCTGCACTTCATCTCCGACACCCGCGCCTGCCACGAAATCAATATTTTAAGGTGAACTCCCCGGTGCAAAAAATTCTAGCCAAGCAAAAATGCCTCCTGTGCTAGTTCTCTTTCTCTTTGCTGTTTCTCTGCTAACTGCACCAAGTTGTGGTGATAGGTAGGAATTTCTCTGACACCTACACTATTTCAATGTATTTGCCAGCTACGACAGCTCCCAAATCTGTCTACCTATCCATCTATCTGTCTATATCTAATTGTCTTTATCTATCTATCTGTCTGTCTGTCTGTCTGTCTGTCTGTCTATCGATCTATCTATCTATCTATCTATCTCTCGATCTATCTATCTATCTATCTGTCTGTCTATCGATCTATCTATCTATTTCTTTCTTTCTTTTGTCTGTCTTTCTTTCTGTCTGTCTGTCTTTCTTTCTTTCTATCTTTCTTTCTTTCTTTCTTTCTTGCTTTCTTTCTTTCCTATCTACCTATCTATATATCTTTCTTTCTTTCTTTCTTTCCTATTTCCTACCTTCGTATCTATCTATCTATCTATCTATCTATCTATCTATCTATCTATCTAT